TAATTCAGTAAACTGACCATGGTTCTTTCAGCATCCAAACAACCTAATGCTATATGCCTCAACTTAACTGAAAAAGAGTATTAAATATTGCATCTGCCAGGTTCCCAGCCCAATTCTCATACAACTGAGAGTATAATACAGAGTTTCTTACCAGGAGCTTCTGAGAATGCTAATTTTCTGTAGTCTGCCCCAAAACATCACCTGTTACCATCAGATGAGTTGCTTCCTCCTTTTTCTAAGGGAGTTTTTTTAAAAGTCTCTAATGTTACTAATGACCAGTCAATTAAATAATCTGCAGAATCACTTACTGAATAAAAGACAAGTAGTTCTGAAGGAAATGACCTCTTCCCTCACCCTGCCCGTGTATTAATTCTGGTTAATTATGCATTTGTCCTGGTGAAAGTAGAGCAGAAAAGACTTGTTTGAAGATGCAGAGGGAATTATCTTCATAAACACACCATGTTCAAGAAATGCAATATAACATCTCTCCATATTCACATCTTTACCATCTTTGTGCTCATTTATCCCCCATTAAAAAATTATTTTTATTTGGCATACTACAGTTTAAAAATATGCTTATAAACGCCTCACAAAAGTTCTTACAGTTGGCACAGAAAGGAGTCTTTTAGTTAACTCAAGACTCGCATAGCCATGTTTTAGCAGCAGGCAGCCCTAGGACCAAACAAACCACACAAGCAAGGGAGTGCTTCAAACCACACAAATCTTGTCTAGCTCTCACCCTTTTTCCCACATCCAAGCTCAGGCAGCTCCACAGACAAGTTGGGTCACATAGCTGCTAGTGGACAACTTCAGCGTTCAACTGTACTGAATCTTAGTGCAGTCAGTCCATCTGCTAAACAGGCCTAAAGCAGCATTTCTGCCAGGGCCTCAGCTGAGAGCATGCTGGAATGAGTGATGCAAAGAGAATCAAATGCAATTTGTTTTTCCAGTCCTGGAGACCAGGCATTTGAATCTTAACCTAGAGCACAGGTGAAAATTGGACATGAGGAAAAATTTCTTGACTGAAAGAGTGGTTAAACATTGGAACAGACTGCCCAGGGAAGTGGTTGAGTCACCATCCCTGGAAGTATTTAAAAGACGTGTAGACGTGGCACTTAAGGACATGGTTTAGTGGACATGGTGGTGTTGGGTCAACGGTTGGACTCGATGATCTTAGAGGTCTTTTCCAACCTTAATGATTCTATGATTCTATGTACAATAACCTCATCCCAGCACTAGTTTTTCCACAGCACAGTTTGTATTTATTACTTTCCGCCCAGAGAAATACCAGGACCCAAGTAAAAGACATCAGAAATGGAGTATACAACTATACTTTTGGCAACTTAATACTATTAAGGTTACATTCATCTCAGTGCAGACCAGCAGGCATGGGTCAAAGTCTTCTTAGAGCTTCTCTTGAAAAGAGATCTCAAGTTCAACTTGTTCACAACCATCACGTGTAACATTGATAAAACCCAAGCACAATCTTGAAGTCTTAAATGTAAGCAGGACTTTAGTAGTGGCTCCTGGACTCTCTCCATAGATGTGATTTTTATCTTTATTTTCTACCACATAGCAGCACTTGCAGTCAGCATTTTCAATACATTTTGCAGGGTCATTGAAGTAATGGTAAGTATCATTCAGTGCCCAAAGCAACAGCTAGGAATAGGTGAACAATACGTAGAAAACACCTAGCAAATATCACTGTTCAGTTTTGTCTCATTTCTGTTGATGCTTTTAATGTAAATACATAAGGCTCAGGAACTTTGTCTTATCCATACATATTCCTTCCTTCAGTGTGGCAGGCTGACTGTGAAAGACATATCTGAACAAAAATACAGACAAGGTTGGCAACAACTCCTGAAAGAGCCAAATGTAGTCTTTTTGCACCCCCATTCCTTCAAAAATTAAGCAGTGGCCCCCAACCTTTCTGTTTCTTAAGTCTATGTACTAAAGAAATGCCGTTAATCATTGATACCTTATATTTCTTCTGCATGACCAGGATAAGAATCAGGACATACCTCTGATAGGCTTCAAACAGGAATTTCCATACCCTTGCTTCAGCGAGGAGTCAAAAGCAGAGCAGAAAGAAGTCAGTATTTAGATCAATGGAAATACCACATGGAGAGGCAAAAGTAGTTGTGACCCTGTTCTGGTATTTATCATGACTGTTGTTTTGACCAGGCACAGTCCTGAAATACAGTTCACAGCATAATGAATGGGTACTGAAAGGCAAGATCTTGTGAAAAGCTAAAGCTGCTCCAAGCGTAGTTCTCCCTGTCTAAAAGCAGGGTTGTATAGAAAAAGTAGTTGGAGTTGTCATTTTCAACAAAATATCTCAACAGGAAATTTTGACAAAAATCATAATACGTTAGAGTTTCTCTTCCGTCCCGTGTTCCTTGAGAAAGAAATGTCCTAAGATCTGAAGATGGTGAAAGGCAGAATTCTTTTTCACACAAAGTTTGTGAACACTGGGGAAGTTTTGAAAAGCTAAAGTGAAAAAACCCAAAGCTTGTATGCATGGCAATATAGGAACAACTGAGACAGTTAATTCTGCTTCATTTGTGTGGAGGAAAAATAAAACCTAAAAATAATCCATTCTGAATTTTTCCACAAAGAAATAAAGTGAAGATCTTTTAAATGAAAGATGTAAGAGAAGCACAAGAAGAAATACAAGCTATTCAACTAGGCCCATTAGCAGGATTAAACTGACTAAAATCAGTTATCTGTGGAGTGAGAGACAAACTGCTTGATGTGAATGTCTTCATAGATACTGGCAGAAAACAGATCGGATTATTCTAGTGCTGTATTTTAAATGATAGCTGTACGTGCTGACATACAGTCTCAAGCAACTCCTTTAAACAAAATGGAGGAGAACTTATTCCAGTAATAGAATTAACTGATATGGCATCCAATATAATGTATTGACTGTCTGCAGTTGAAAGGATACTTATTTGGCTTTATTAATATTACTGATCCTACTGTTAGATAGCCTGTTTTTCCACTGGGTCCAGAGCAGGGAGTTAGAGCCCTCTATAGCAGTGAAGTACTACTTTCGCTTTATAAAGGAGGCAAACACTCCAAGGATCTCTCACGTAATGTTCAGCATTGCACACCTACAATTCATACTCCCTTTTTTCAAATATCCATTGCTTCCAAGTTAGTACCCAATACATGAATGAGAAAGCACCTCAGAACGGTGTTTGGAGCAGCCTGTATGGCAGAAAATTACAGGGAAGGCACCAATAGCCAAAACCCAGAAAAATGTAATTCCAGGTACTTCAGCATCCATTTCTAGTCAGAAGACACAGCACCCATCTCTCCCTTAAAGTGCTTTCTCCCTTCTCCTTGCCAGCCCTTGTGTAGCTGAAACCAAGATGGAGCAGGCAAGCTTTAACATGCTGTGGTTAGAATACCCAGACACCGGAAGCTCATGTACAAATCTCTAGGGCCTAACTCCTGAAATTTAAATGGCAAATTTTGCAATCACCAAGCTACAATTCTCAACAGTCCATCCTGGCAATGTTTGACTTTACACAAAACTTTTTAATTTTCATAATCTGAAGAGAGTAAGTCCCACTCCCTGAAATAAGTATCAGTGCAAGATCATCCAGTCATGACAGTGATCGTGAACTACCTATATCAAAACAGAATCCTTATTTATTTATAATCTGAAACAGTTTAACAAATGTACTGATAAACTAGGAAAACATCAATAATAACCAGTGACAGCTCTGTGCTTATCACAAGTAAGTGCTTGCTACAATAGGACAGGTGCTTCTACTTACTCAAGAGGTATAAGGTAGGGCTTTGAAGTTGGATCTTCCTCAAGTCTTTTGTAGAGACAAAACTGTATATAGAAGTTGGCATCAATGGAAAAAAGCAGTACATAACTCAAACCTGGGGCAAAGATTTATTTCTAGTCACCAACTGAGATCACGAAATGAAAGAAGAGAATTAGCTCAGAAAAACCCACCAGTCTAGATACTAAGATGTGAATATTGCTGTCTTGCCGCTGCCTAAGGTAAAGGTCAGGAATGAAGCTAAGCCTGACAACAGTGAATATACTCATGTGTCCCACTAAAGCAGTATCTCCCCTTCACTAGCGCACCAACAAATTATATGGAGCTCTGAAAGGACACACCTTCTTTGGAGCAATTTTGTTACCATTCATCCCTGGCAAAGCTGTTTGAGGATATTTAAGTATTTGAGATCAGAAGTACTCTGCTACATACAGGGCAATTGGAACTTGCTTGCTTTCTTTTAGGGAAGGAGAGGAAAAAAGGGAAGTCTTATGACACATATAGTCACTAAAATCCTGAGTAAGCAGCAGTAGCTCTGTGTTGTCTACCTTTTAATCCCTAGTTTTCTCTAAGAACATCTTTTTCTAAAGCAGCCTGTTTTCCTTTATTCCTCATCAGTTACTATAGAGAAAGGTTGAGACATCATGTTCATCTGATCATGAGAAACAGGTGAGAGGTCTGCAGTAATGCTTACTTCAGATGAGATGTACGTACTAGACAACCTCTGATCACACCACTGAAGTTGAAGGATCTCGTGAAGATTCTTTCTTCAGTCCAGGCATTTGATATGTGCTGTACAAGGCAATTAACTAAATCAAATCTCTTTAGGACAAGATATCATGTATTGCAAGATTTCAAAAAAGTTGTCCTTATTTCATCTATGCCATTCATCTTCACTTGCGTGGTTATGTTCTGTAGCTTGTTTTGGACTAGTGTTGAGTAGAAAAGACAGTCCTGTAGGTCTAGCACATGTAGCAATTCCGTTGCATTTCCATCCTTGACTTGAATCAGTTTGTTCACTCAGAGCTTAACTGTGGTCTCGGTTCACTCTGTTGAGTAGTCTGAGACACACACCTTGTCTCTGCAGAAGAATCTTCTGATCCCCTGGTGGGCAAGAGAAAGGCTTTATTAAGTTCCAGTAGAGCCTGAGTGGAGCCTACTGTCACAACATTTTGCAAAGGCTGATTGCTACTTAAATCATTTAGCATCAGAGAACTCAGAGCTTAACTGTGGTCTCGGTTCACTCTGTTGAGTAGTCTGAGACACACACCTTGTCTCTGCAGAAGAATCTTCTGATCCCCTGGTGGGCAAGAGAAAGGCTTTATTAAGTTCCAGTAGAGCCTGAGTGGAGCCTACTGTCACAACATTTTGCAAAGGCTGATTGCTACTTAAATCATTTAGCATCAGAGAAGCCGTAGATTTTTTTTAAAATAACCATTTGCAATGCAGTTTTTGCTTTCCCCATCTTTAATCCAGGAGAGCCCAGCAGAGCTGACTGAATGCAGAGCACTTGCATCATTTTCAAGTTAATGAAAGAAGTGGGTGTTAGCAGCCCTGATACCCACCCTTTCTAAAATTTAGTTCATTCCCTCCAAAAGTTCAGTTTAGGAATCAATCAAGCCTCGTTGATTTCCCAGGGCAGGGGGCATAGAAGACCAGGGAACATGCATAGACTAGTTGAGTTATACAGCTCCAGCAAAGCCTCACTTATTAATTGAAAGGGATAACTTATTTCTCCTGGGGAGGAGGCAAATAAATTAAAATCAAGGCATTAATTAGGACATTATGTAATCTTTATAAATGCCTGCACTCCTTAAGACAGTTTCCAAACTCCTGAATAGATGGAAAGGTGCAATATGTAAGAAAGAATATACAGGCTTTAAGTATGTGCAACTCTACTGTTTTTTTCCAGTGGTCCTTACTAAAGTCTGGCAGCTAGTAAGCTTAAGGCTGTGTAATAATTACAAGAGCTGCTGATCTTAGGGAAGATTATGATAAAGTAGTCTTTTCCCATTACCAACTTCAAAATTTGGAGGACACCATCTGGTCTGTCATCTCAAACAAGACCAGCAACAGTGGCTTGGAGCCATAGGGAGGAAGGCTGATGACTGAGGGTTTAGGTACTCTTACTGGAAGTTGTAAGGTGTAGCAGTACTTACATGACAACAGAGGACATAGAAGCAAGAAAGCCAGCAAGCAGAAGGAACACAAGAACACTTAGAATCGAGGTGATGACAATCATGTCTCCACTCCTTCGACCAGGCCAGGTATCAATTTTCAAGGGAAGTTTAACTAGAAAAGCATGGAAAGAATGTTCCTATGATCTATTTTTGACCATGAACACACCCACCAAATAGGAGAAGGCTGGTGATTTAGGAGAGGCAAACTGATTATGTCTATACCTGAAGTCTTAGATGATTTATGGGAAACAGGTTTAAGACTCAGTGTCAGCATTTAGAATTTATAAGCTTTCCTCAGCAGGTTAGCCAGTATGACAAGTATCTGTATTACTGAGAAATGTCAACAGCACCAGATACTATGATATGCATAAAATCTGAAACCGCATGTACAAACTTTATCTTTACTAAAAGAATTGCTTTGAAGTACACAAAAGAAGTACAGAATTATTCCATATTTAAGTCTGCTACTCCAATATTGAAAGCCTGACAAAATTGTTAAAACTGTAGGAAAGGACTAGGTGTTGCTCATAGAGCAATAGCATCCTAAAGCAAGCACAGCTACTCAGAAGACCTGAGCCAAGCCACAGACTTACCTTTTCTGGTTTTGATTGGATCAGACCAGAGAGTTTGGTCTTTCATGATCCCTTCAGTGCTATCTAGCAACACATATTTAAACCTGTGGGGAAAAAGTGTTAAATTAGGTATTTCAAATTTGAGCTTCCTTACTAGTATTTTTAAGCTACTGGATTAGCTGGTCAGAGTTCAGGTTTTGTCAAAGCATTAGATGGAGACTATCAAAGGTAACTGACTATTTCCAGAGACCTTATAAAGAGCAAATAGAATTAATCATGGAAAAGCATTCTGTGCTATGTCATGCACAGTTTGCAATTCATTCTTGTGAGCCTTGGCAGATGATAGCTTTCCAACAACAGTTTTTCCCAGCTTGCTATTCCCTGTTGTGAAGAGCCTCATTATTTAGGACAGCAAGTGGTTTTGATTTCCATATGGAAGTTGAAGATTTTGTCCAACAATAGAGATCTTTGGCACTTTCCCTGCTAGAGGAGAGTATTGAAGAGACAGGCCAACATCAGATTTGGCAAAGAAATTGAGTTTCCATTCCACAATAGTTTGAGTTTTCAGAAATGTCCTGAAGAGACAGAAGAGGCAAGACAGTTTTTGCAAAACTAAGAGCCCATAGTATTTTTTTTCGAAGCGTATTAGGTCTCCACAGCAGTCGGCTCCATGTGACTGCCATTTTTACTACAGCTTTTAAATAGCTGGCAACAGCAAAACAAGTGTTTCAGGTAACAGCTGTCAGGGTGCCCAAATTCCCCAGATGGCCAGCTTCCCCAAACAACAGGGGTCAGACAAGTCTGCAAGCCACCTGGCCCTCACTGTGAAGTCTCCAGTAACATTAGAGGCTTCCTGGAGCTGGAGACCAAGGAGAACTTTGGCTCTTCAAAATCCCATCAAAACAAAGCAAGCAGAGCCAGATCCATGTCTGCAATTTGGCAGAATGATCTAACACAAAATACACGGTGAATAATCTCAACATCATTTTCCAGTCAAAATCCTTTTCTACCAGCAGTTTCTAATCAGATGCTGTCACTGGATTACCTACTCCAACATAGGTATAAGATCCAGCAGTTCACACATGAATCTTCCTACCGATCCATGAATTTAACCTGACAGAGCTCACCACTGCTAGGGCACCATAGAGGACCATCTGCAGGGTGCTAAACCAAAGTAAAGCCATCTTCATAACTACCCTTGCAATAGAGCATTTCAGTTAGGGACTGGTAATTCACATCATACCATTACAAAGGAACATTACAGACTCAATGTTGCTTCCTATTGTGTTTTAAGAGCAGCAATCACCTTGTAAGAAATAAGAATTATACCTGTATGTTGTGTCTGGTGCAAGAGGTGGGTTACAGACAGCTAGGAAGTTTGGGTCGTACAAACAAGTCCCATCATCCCCAACTCTGAAGAGGTATTGTTTCAGGACATCAGAAACTTTGTTGACATCTCCTACATCAGCAAGTTTGGGAGGCGATGCACAATTGGGTACATTGAACAAGGCAGCCTTGTAAGGTCCGAGCTGCCCTCCACTTGTTTGTTGGAAGGTGCTGTCGAGTGGTTTGCTGCTGTTGTCGGTCACCAGGGAGCTTATTGCACTTGCTGCAGGAGAGATGCTTTTTAATGAGGCTGTTAGAACTAGTTCAGCCCTTTCCATTCACCCTGTATTTACTCGGCAACTTGCTCTTCTACCCCAAAACACTCGAAAGGGAAACCAAAAATCTGCTACCATTTTGGCTGTGTTAGTGATCCTACCCCTTCCTCCTTGTTTGTTGATGAAGCTCTTTACACTTGTCCTTCAGAAACTGTGAAGGATCCACAGCGTATCTCAGAGCAATACTTTTTAGTAGCCACCCTCCCCAAATTCCTCTTTTCCAAGGAGAATCTGATGGAGTAGGGAGGAGGGTGGCAAAGGCTGCTCTTCCCCCATGCCACACATGGCTCCAATAAACATCCAGTAAATCCTGCCATTTCAGATTTGATACTATAGCCAAGGCAGAGTTCCTTTAGAGTCACAATTCTCCCACCTCCTGGAGCAGAAACCCTTAGACCTCTGGCCACGCAGCAGCTGGACCTCCCAGAACCATGCAGTATGCAGACCAGTGTGTAGGGGCTGCATGAACAGATGCGGTATCTACCTTTCTGGCCAGCCAGGCATGTCACTGCTTCCAGACAGCATGCCTCAAAGTCTGAAAGTCCTCACAGCTTCAAACAAAGTGTGAATCTGCACCCAGCCCTACAGCATAGTTTGGAAGCTCAGTTACAGCTCTCAAACCTTTCCTGCTGCAAAGCCAAGGCACAAGTCCCAAGAGATGCTCCCAAGTTCTGCAACCGCGGCTTAAATTTTTTTGGGGAGCCCCCTCCAGCTGTTCAGTGCTGTCAGCAGCAAAGGAATGCCAGTTTTTCCAAAGCTGCGGTACATTGGGAACTACTTCAGTTTGGAAACGTTCTGCTGTGCAATTGCTTGGTCATGAGAAGTTTTTAGCTATGATCCAATGCAAAATTAAACCTGTTTTAAAAGGGAAAATTTTCTAGCACAGGTTAGAAATACAACTTAAGGGTTAGTGCTCAAGTTAGTTGAGCTCTGACACCCCTCTCTTCAATAGGGGCCAATAACATGAAAGCAAATACTAGCTAAGACATGCTCTATTCTTAGGCTTGCTTCCCCAAATTATAATACTTCTCACAGCTAGGTCTTCCTGCTCTCCCACTCTCCATTTCAATAACTCTAAGCCTGGCTCTGGTGAGCAAGTCAGAGCTGATGCCTAAGCAAGTTCCTTTTGTGTGGGTTTTTTTTCTTGGGTTTTGTTTGTTTGGTTTCTTAAACTTTACTAAGTAGATCAAGCCTGATAGCAACATTAACAAGAATAGAGCTAAAAGTTACGTTACTTCTTCAGAAATTTGCTAGACCCTCAGCTTTGTAGTATGCTGACACATTTCCTTACCAGCAGAGCTGAAACATAAGGTGTTAAGAAAGTTAAGTTCTCTTAAATTTTCCTTCTCCCTGCTCCAGGAGGCATCCAAGGGTGAGCCAATGTGCTTCTCTGCAGACCAGAGACAAATCCAAACAAAATTCCTTCCAGTCTGCCAAGTAACAAGTTTGCATCTGCTTGCCTTAAAAGCAGCAGAAGCGATTTCTCCATATATAACCCCTTTTGTAGAGATTCACCCATCTGTGTAGGAAGCTTTTACCACAGAATCTGCAGAAGATGGGGTGGTTGATGTAATTTCTAACACAAAACATCATGTTTGCATATTTGCAGGTATAACTAGGTATCAGTAGCCTTTTATATAATTATAATGCATTTACAGTCTGTTTTAGACATACAAAGACATGCACTTCAGTCACGGGACGGGTCTCATAAGGCCGTGCATTCACAATTGTCTATGTTAGCTGTATGGGATGGTGTCTCTGGTTACAGCTTCTACCCATCCAAGGCCCCTTCCTTCCACCTTGTCCAAAGCAGCAATAATCAGCAGCGGAAGTTTTAGACCGTTTTGTCTGTTAGCCAATTTCTCTGTCCCCCTCAAGATTTCTTCTCTGTGCCTCTTAGAAAAGGAGGCTGCATACAGCCTTCAGGGGAGAAGGCATGATATAAGGAGGTCATTTATTTCTGTCAGCTTACGGAGTAGCTCTAGCTGGCATTCAAAACAGTCTGCCAGAGCAGCAGGGAACAGAGAAGGCAGGTCTTGGTCACTGCCAGCAGTGTTTCATTGCCAAGCAGTTATGAAAATCATTTTATGAATGAACTCATGGGCCAGGCATCTTCGACCACAAGTCTAGCATGACTTGCCTTTGTCTTAAAAAAAAAAGTAGTCCCTGCAAGGGCTGGCTACCCTAACTATGAAGCAAACAGCAGCCGTTACCCAGTTTCTCTCAGCAGGTTTACTTAGGGGAATCCAGGCTTTTATACAAGGCATTCGTGTTTAGACAAAGATAGGGTATCAGACTGTGGACCACTTGGTTTCATTAGCAAGATTCGGGCCAATGTTTATAGCTGATAGTGCTGCTCCACACCTAGTGGGAGTCTAACAGTACTAAGGCTTGCTATCATTAATCAGCCCCATTGAAATACTACAGTTATTTATATTGTATTTTATAATAATGCCCTGGAGAAAACTGAGACCAGAGGCTCAGCTTGTATGTAGTTTACAGCTACAGATTTTTCCCCCATTCAGACCCACTCCCATCAAATTGTGAAGAATTATGCAACGGTCACATGTAGTTATCTTCCAGAGAAGCATAATGCTGGATACTCACCTGATTCTTTCATTGTGTACAAGTAGATGATGTAAGATTTATTTGGACTCAGTGAGCTGTCAAACATACAGAAAGGTTTTTCTAGAGCAACTGTAGTGAGAGTTGGATTGTTTGTAGCAAGCTGAGGCGCTGCAATCTGAGGTTTCAGGCTTTGATCTAGAAGAGAAATCTTCCAGAGAAGCATAATGCTGGATACTCACCTGATTCTTTCATTGTGTACAAGTAGATGATGTAAGATTTATTTGGACTCAGTGAGCTGTCAAACATACAGAAAGGTTTTTCTAGAGCAACTGTAGTGAGAGTTGGATTGTTTGTAGCAAGCTGAGGCGCTGCAATCTGAGGTTTCAGGCTTTGATCTAGAAGAGAAAGTTACCAAAAAAGCATATGAAAAAAAAAATCTTTCTCCTCTCTCTCTGCAAGCTCTGTCAAAAGGGAGTTTGTAGCAAGCTGAGGCGCTGCAATCTGAGGTTTCAGGCTTTGATCTAGAAGAGAAAGTTACCAAAAAAGCATATGAAAAAAAAAATCTTTCTCCTCTCTCTCTGCAAGCTCTGACTCAAAAGGGAGGATCTGGCAGCAACATTAACATAAAAGGGAGATATGAACTGCAGCTGAGCAGGAAACAGCCTACCTGCCCTGTGAAAGTTTGAGAGGTAGGGGTTTTGCTTTATGCAAAACAGGAAACACAAGGATTTGGGGAGGGAGGTAAGAGATATTGCTTCTCAAACATACTGGTCACATCATCTCAGAAGGACAAAGGCAAAGCCTCATTATAGGAGAGACTTGAACCTCTGTCTTTAGGGTCCCGCGTACAGCCTCCCCCCTCCAGTGGCAGCACCAGAAGCAGCACAGTCAGTTCTTGAATCCTTTAGCAGCAAGAAGTCTTAATAAGGTTTTTAAGATCAGGCTTGTTAACATACAGAGTGAGAGATTTAGCAGAGAGGAAAGCTGTCTGGGAGAGGCCCTGGAGAGGGCAAGTGATATTAGAATAAAGTTTATGTCAGACACTTCCCCCCTCCCCACACAAGCTCATCCCATCTCCAGTCTCCTGGGGAAGATTAACTACGAACAAAGAGAGGGATTCAGCAGCTCCTCCTCCTTCCCAGCCTAGCTGCAGTAGAGATACTTTAACAATCTTCCAGCAGAATGTATGTTTGAAGCCCTAAACCCCCTCCCAATACAGATCCTGGATCAGAAAGTTGACACTCAAGACAAAACAAGAAAACGTAAGAGAAACAGAAAGGGAAGAGACACAAAGAGAGGAGCAACAAAAAAGAAGAGACTGCAGATAGATGCCTTTTACCTGCACACAGCTGTCCCAAGCAGCAAAAGGCTAATAGAACCCAATGGCTGCACATGCTTGAGCCCTCCAGAAACCTGCCACGAAAGGAAGAACAACGCTGGGAGGCAGCCCCAACTGAAGAGCTCCCACATCCACTCCCTCCCTGAAGTCAACCACACCTGCCCCTTTCCACAAGGTCCCTGTGGTTAGGAGCTGCCTACCCCCTCAGCACCTCCCTATATGCTTATTGCCCCTCCTGCTCAGGTGTCACCAACCCCCCTCCCCCCCAGCTATTATCTGCTCCCAGGTGAGGAAGGGTGTCGCAGCTTTGATTTCCACCTGGTATTGGGCACCAGTGTAGCTCTCAGCAGTGCTATGAGCGTAAAGAGAGTTTTTTCCCACCTGTGTCATTGATAGGTGGCTTTGTTCTTCACCTTCTTCTGTCTAAAAACTTTTGAAATCTCTCATGTAGGGAAAATTCGGAACTGAATACCTGAACCCTGCATCCAGTCTGCATCATGGATGGTTCTGATTCAGAGCTCTAAATTTGGGCAGCCTTAACAGAGGTTACAATTGCCTTCTGAATTGTGTTTCCTGGGTTACATCTTGAAAAACATAAGCCTTCTGCTTCTAGTTAACCCTAATGTGGTTCAGGGCAACTACATGAAGAGCAAACCACTGGGAAATCTGAATCTGACCTGTTATACCGAATTGTTCAGCTGAGAATATTCTTGATGAGTAATTGCTATTATGAATGGTCTATTACATAAAAGCTCAGATTACAAAATTATTAATCACCCACTTAAAATAGGCTGAGGGGAAAAAATAAGTATCAGCAAGATTTTACAGAATTAATGGGGCTAACATGATGTCACTGCAGCAACTCCAGATTTACACTAATATCACTACAGTTACATTACCAAAACCATCTTCTTTATGGATATGCCATGGGCCCCAGAAATCTGTTTGAAATATGTAATCAAATGATTATAATGCAATTTCCTCCCCATATGTGTCTCATTTTGTTTCAAATTCTGCATGTCATCTTCAGTGTGTTTGGTTTGACTTTTTTCTCACACCACTTTTGAGGGAGAATATTGAATACAGGAGTTACCCTAGATTTGCATTGCTATACAATAAGAATGAGTTGTATTATACTTTCTCACTCTACAATGCACTCTAAGCCTGTGTGGGCATAAACACTCACGTAAATCAGATTAAGCCAGAAAAGATCTTACCCTTCTGTCTTTTACTCCTAGGAATCTGATTTTTAACATTTACACTAGGGGGGTTAGTTGTACAAACTTGGTACTGATCTGCTCAAGAGTGTTTTTATCCCTTAAAGCAATATAATAATGCACAAAACCTGTAAGGTTTCTGACTCCACAGTAAAAGCAGAGCTTGAGAACAACAAGATCTCTTTCTCCATCATAGAATCAATACTTTCTCCAAACAGTGATTCCTGTAAAATCAGATCCTGAATTCTTTAGACAGGTAACCCTTCCAGAGCAATAAGCAGTGGCTTTTTTTTCCTTAAGATAGAAAATAGGCACATGATTTGCCTAACTAAAAAAAAAAAAAATAGACACTAGTACATATTGTATAGCAGAGAAAAATAAGTATTCTATTTCATGGCATGCAAGCCACTTGCATGTGCTACAGAATACTCTTCCAAGTTTTATAAAAAAGAGCTGCTCCCTCATTCACTTTCTAAAGCATCAAAACAGACAACAGAAAAGAATATAAATTTTAAAAATCAACAGATTAAGGCCCAGAATCACAACAGAATTTTTGATTTAAAGGTACAAATATTTTTTTTAGATTCACAGCCATCAAGCAATAAATTCAGCGCTTACTACTCAGGCAAAACTCTGCATGACCTTCTTGGAGTCTTGCCTGGATGAAGAGTGTGGCAAACTGCTCCTTGGGCTACGGTCATGCAAACTGTTACTCAGGCGATTAGTTTTACAACAGCCAGGAGTATGTCAATAGAGCTGCTCATCACAGAAAGTTAATCACTTTTCAAAGTGGTTACAGGATGACAATTTTAGCCATTATTTTTTGTGAGGCTATTTTTTTAAGCCATCATGATGTAGTTGAGTACAAGGCCATCTTGTGCTCTGGTGGAATTCACCAGCCACAATAAGGGGGGATAACATTGCCTGTGTTGCGAGATTTTAAAATTTTTGGGTTTCTTCCATGCTCAGAAGAATCTCAAACAGAGGTAGAAAATTAACATGACAATAAACTCTCTCAGCTCCATCTGTGCTGGCAGATGTGCCCTAAATTAGGACCAGATCTCATCCTTGCTTACACTTGTGTAAATCCACATTAACTCCACTGAAGTCAGGGGAGCTGGTCTGGATTTAAAGGATGTTACCATAAACAAACTTAACCTCAGTATAATTACAGAGTTCCCGAAAGGAAGTGCAAGAGAAGACATCAATGTAAATTCCTACGTCTTTGTTTAAGCAACAATGCCAATTTTCTTGCTCTATGTTACCTTGTGGGCAATTCTGGAGTAATTCATAGAAGCCTCCAGTCAGTTTGGATTGATGGCTCCATGAGAACAAACCTTGCCTGTAGCCCTGGCTTTCCAGGGCTGTGTGAAACTCATGTTTGGGGAGGATGGGGCCTGAAGTCCCAAAAGGCCGTGAAATGTATGGAACCCTCCAGGATCTGAAGTCCAAACCTCCTTTACATGCTCAGCTGTGGGTGTAGTGGAAATAACCCTCCATAATCTGCTGTGCTCCATCTCTCTGGTCCACTGCACGGGCTAAAATTTATGGGCAACTTGCAAGCCCAGCTCCATGTAGAGAACATTACAGTGTTTAATAACAGTAAAAAACATGGTGGTGACATTTACCAGTCAAGATGGTGAAAAAGACAAATAAAACATAAAATCCATTTTAAAATCCTTTGATGATCCTCACTAATTATCTGCATAGCCATTATTAGCTTCTAATTTCCTGCAGATATCTTGGTGGGTGTAGCCCTTGAGGTAGGAGCTGAAAGAGTAGGGGAGTAATGCCTTTGTGAATTAATTTTAACAAAAGCATTCCACGAATATGGGAGATCTGGAAGAGAATGCAGAGATGGTTAAAAAACAAGTTGATAAAACAGGTGATCAAGGTTTGGGAGAGCGGTGGAGAGCTGACACAGTTAGAAAATAGGGAAGTACAGAGATACAGCATTGTAAAATATTGTGAAAGTGAGGATAAGTTGGAATGAGAAACAACGGAAAAGTTTTTCCTTCTGTCCAGTCACTATACTACAGACATGATCTGGCAGGATCTTTAACCACCTCTACTGCTCGGTCATATGCATCAGCTGGTCTGCAGAGATTAACCACAAGGGAAGCAGCTGTAGTACTGTTGTTATGATAAGGACATTTGTCCATTTGAGAGTGGCACTGAAACCAAAAAATCTATTCAAAGAGGTTACTGGTCAGCTACTATAGGCTTCAGAAGTGGCTGTTCTGGGGCTGGTATTAGTAACAGATTGTCATGGGCAGTGCCTGGAAATCCGAGCTATCCTCGCAATGGAAACTTCCATCTAATGGTAAATAACTTTCAGTCACTACTGCATTGCATTTATATCAGACGGCTGTAGATAAAAGGGAGAAATTTCCCATTTATCCAGGGAGAAAACTCCTCACTGAAGCAGGAAGTGAAATACCTCTTACGACATTTCTCTCTCTCAAACTCTTCCCAGAATAATTCAAGGCAGTAGGAGATTCACATTTCACAAGATCTGCTGCACAAAGGCCACACAGATGCCTGGTACGGTTGTGCAGTTCTGAAATCTCTTTGATATGCGTTTGGCTTCCTGGAGAAGTATTTCTGTCCTTTGTTGCTGCAACAAGGGGCATTCACATCTGATCTTAAAATCTACACACCTATTAACATGGCCTTAGGGTTCATTTTCAGGGTCTGTCTTCCTCCTTTCCTAATAAAGTCCTAATAAAGCATGTACATTATGAATCTCCGGAAGAGCTCTGCAAACCGCTTTGTTAAAAAGGGACCAAAGTGATGGAGATAAGCCCCATCCTACATTCACTCAGCAAAGGAACAGACTTACGTGCTGAGTGGGGGTCCCATCTGTGCACAGATCGGAGCAGCATGACTCACTGAGCCATTGATCTCCTTAAATTAGAAATCTTTCATGTGTCCATAAGGAAATATGAATGCTCAGTTAGAAAGATGAGAACTTAGAACTTATTTTATCATCTGGTGACAATTAATTTTGTGCAAACCTGAAAGGTCAAACAGTGGAAATATCAGGAAGGGAAAAATAACTTTCTACATAAGAAATCAGGGCCACACCATCATTTAATATAAATTGGCATGGCTCCATTGAGGTAAACTTCTTACGAACAGAAGAACTGGTCCTTCTTGCATTCCCCTCAGAAATCGTGTATAAGGTCTTATCACTGCAGTAAACCCCGAACAATTGCAGAACACTGAAACATCCGCAGTTTGGAGGAGCCAGGGGTTAAAATGAAAGGCCCCTTTGTTACACAGAAGTTATTGTTTTCTTTGCTGAGGAGATGTCTTACTATCTGCAGTTATCTGCTTGAACTTTCACCTCATACTGTTAAGAACCACTAAGAAGTAATTCTTTTTATGAAAGTCCTGGGCTTACGTGATAGTGTAGATGTCCCTAATAAAAGCAACCACCATTTGCTGCAGCCTTCTCAGAACTGCCCCTTGTGATGGATCATTTGTACCAGGCAGGTCAATGTAGGTTGGTCCCACATTTCTTCACTTACAAAATGGTAATATTTTCCTACTTCAGTGAATCCACTGTTGGTTGAGGGGCTTGTTCTAAACATCAATTATAATGAGGAGTCACACTGGTGTAGAAGAGGAAGAAGAGAAAGTATTTTTGGTAATTCAGAGTGGTTAGATAACTGTGTTATATCTATAACCAAAGTAACATGTTTTTTGATGAAGAACTAAGCAAAGATGACAGGGGATGGGGTTAATCTTCCTGGCCTGTGAACTGGCTACATTCCTTAGGCTGCAGTTTCTGTTAACTGACTTCATGCAAAAGTAACTTTACTGTGTTGGCATG